TGGCCGTCGGAACTCCGTCGGTAAATCATGCCGTCGGAAATCCGTCGGTAATTGGAATCCGACGGACTTCCGACGGAATTCCGACGGATTACGGTTATCCCTTTTCCGTCGGAAATTCGTCAGTATTTTCGATGGATTTTCGACGGATTCCGGTTATCCCTTTTCCGTCGGAAATCCGTTAGTATTTCCGACGGATTTCCGACGCATTTTTATTTCCGACGAGATAGAACCGACGGACCAAAATCGTCGGAAAGCCGTCGGAATAGGGGTTATTCCGACGGATTTCCGACGGTTTTGGCCGTCGGAAACGACCCTGTTTTTTTGTAGTGATAAAAAAACAAAAAAAAAATTATTTTGGAGTCACAAAGGGTACTTGTAAAAATAATACAAGAGAAAGGGTCAGTTTGGTGAGAGTTTTGCTATATAAACTGTCTTTCTCATAACCATTTCATTTCCTACCAACAAAAAGAATCAAAACATAACTAAAAAAGAAACATAAGAAAATATGAAGACAATAAAGTGTTCGCCACTTTTAGCTATGCTGCTCGGTTTCATTATCGTAGCCGTCGCCATATCCACCATCTCCGTCGAGGGCCGTAACCACCACGTCAAGAATATCAAACCGAAACACCATCGTCATTCCAAAAATATCCCTACCGGCTCTCCTGCTCCGGCACCTTACCCGTCCACGGACGAAGCCATTTTCGACATTCGCTCCTTCGGTGCCAAGGGTGATGGAGTCTCCGACGACTCAGAGGTACACGTAGAAACACAATTCATATATTTTCAACATCAATGTTCAAACATTATATAAAGCTTCGATTGTTTGTTTGCGTTTATATAATTAGTGCGTTGTTTTAACAGTCGAACCCACAACTTGGTGCATTTTAAATCATTTTTTCCGTTAATTGTATTGTAAATGTAAACGCCAAACATAAATTAAAAGTTCGAAAAACTAAAAACTTGCGTTTACAATTAAATTGTAAACGCCAAACATAAATTAAAAGTTCGAAAAACTTGCGTTTACAATTTCCAAAAAAAAAAATAATAATATGAAACTAAAAAGTACATGATATTTCAAAAATATGATATAGATCAATTTATTTTATTGGAGCGTACGTAACATAATTAAGGGTTGCGTAGGCATTGGTCGGAGCGTGGAAGGCGGCTTGCAAAGTTGCCGGAGGGAAGGTGGAAATTCCGGCAGGAAAAGAGTTTATGGTAAAGCCGGTGACGCTACAAGGGCCGTGCAAGGAGGAGACATTGGTTCAAATAGAAGGAACATTAGTGGCTCTGGAGAAGGTAGGGTCATGGCCTAAGTCAAGCTTGTTTCAATGGCTTAACTTCAAATTGGTCAGCCATGTCACCATCCAAGGCTCAGGGACTCTTGATGGTCGTGGCTCCAACTGGTGGAACTTAGACACTTACCAAACTCAGGTACGCTTTTATCTTCTTCTTTTTTTCCATTTTTGATCAGATTATAGCAAGGATTTGGTTTTTCAACAATGAAATTTTATAAACATGGAAATGTTTCCAAGTTACTAAAGTACAAAAATGAGAATTGTGTTACTTTGACCGGATTTCTAACTACTAATTAAAACCCACATGTTGAATTCTACATAAATTTTCAAATCAATTTAGGTACAAATACAGAAATCAAACAACTCTTTTAAACGATTCCATCTCTCTTTTTTTTAATATAGTTAGGATTTTAAATGCCTTGTAACATCCTAATTAGAAGTTAATGTAAAAGGTAAATTAACATTTTAATATGCTAGCTAGTTGCTACTAGCTAGTTTGATCATTTCTTACACTTCTATATGAAATCAAACATTGTAATATACCTTTTAATTGTTGTTGCTTTAATCTTTCTTTTTTCAGAAGAAAAATAAGTATATCCCACCAATGAAGCCAACGGTAAGTCAATATTTATTGAATAATGTTATTAAAATTCATATTCGTAAAAAGTTCATAATATACAAATTGCTATGCCCATTGACGACGTATAGGCACTTAGGTTTTATAGAAGTGATAACGTGACGGTCCGTGACATAAGCATCGTGAACAGCCCACTGTGTCACCTGAAGTTTGATAATTCTGACGGAGTCAAAGTCAACAACATAACCATCTCTTCGCCGGCGAATAGCCCAAACACCGACGGAATCCACCTCCAAAACACACGTAACGTCGAGATTCAACACTCTAACATCGCCTGCGGTAATTATTATAAATTAATCTTTTGAATTTTCATTTATTTTACCAATAAAATACCATGAAGTTTTCATATGCATATATGATCACTCTTAACCAAAAAAAATTAGCCAGATCTTTTCAAAGATCTTGATTTGTTTTTCTCCTATTAAAGCTACACATGCAATTACTCAAACAATATTGTGCTACATAAAGAAGATAAAATGGATATAGTTCAACCGATCGGTGTTATGCAACTCTCTCATTCTGCTATTGAG